AGAGTTCCCGGTGGGAGACCATTGTGCCGGGTTGGGATTAAGTGAGCTAGGCCTTGAATGCCAATGCCAAGGGGCTGACGTCCATGTGGTCCCGGTAACAGGTTTTGAGCCAGGTGTACAGGTCCCCAGTTGCATTTTAGAGTGATATTGAGACAAGACGCAGAACAGCAAGGAGGGAGAGGAATGGACGAGACTGAAGTGAGGGAGAGCGCAGGGGTGGATGAGATGGGGGTTGTGAATCTCCCATTCGGAGAGCATGAGAACGCACACAGGGGCTTTTCCTGCCTGCCGCTTCTGTCACAGGGCAGCGTCCCCTGTGCGTTCCCTCATGCCGCAAGGCCACCTTCACGGAAGCTTGAGTTTGCACCCCAGCAGCCATTTTCCACGACACAATAAAAAACCATGACTTCACGATAATCATAGCGTGTTTTAAAAAGCCACTTTGGGTTGAGTTGCTGTGCGCTCCGTAACTTTTGCCACGTATGAACACCGCATTCTGTGTGTGTGTGTGTGTGTGTGTGTGTGTGTGTGATTCAAGCGGCAGCAGAAGTGACCCTGGCTGTATGCAGTCGTTCAAGAGAGTTGGCGTGGCCTGTGTCCACCCTGGGAAGACCACCTCTGGGCATGAACAGTGATTGGGAAAGCGTTGTTTGTGTAGCGTTCTACGTATTTAGTTATCTTCTTTCAATTCTTGCAACACAGAGAGCATTTTTCCCCGCTGGGTAAATGAGCCAACGAAGACACATGTGAGGTTGAGCATGTCCTGTGAGAGCAGTCAGCTTAACCCCGCTGGCAGGGGGAAACCGAGTCCCAGCCCTGCATGTGGCCAGTCCCACCCCCGCCCTGAGCCTCTCCCCACGAGCCCTGTGCCCTCCCACGCCGCTCTCCCTGTACCCCTTCTTCATCTACCAACCTGCTTTCATCACAACCCACTCAACTCCTCCCTGACATAGACTGTGGGAGGGGAAGGTGGGGAGGACTTCCTTCCCCAGCCCAGAGAGGTGACTCTTCCTCTCTGTTCCTGTTGTCCCAGCCTCACCCGCACAGAAGCTTCGTGTTGTAACTTTTGATTACTTCCTTTTGACTACATTTTCTATATTCTTAGTGCCTACTGTAATTCTAGGCACAGAGTAGACTTTCGGTCGATGAAACTGATTGCAATGTTACGCACATAATGCAATGAGTGAAACCGAAGGCAAATAAAGGAAATAAACGAAACGATGCACACAAGGATGAATCATTCCCAGTCTCCGTGTGCTCTCCTGACCCTCATTCTCCACCCTGAACTTGTGTCTCACTGGAAAATAGATAAGGTTATGTGTTTTTATGTTTATCGTATGGGTCATTTTCTTTCTTTTTTTTTCCCCCTGCCACCCTGTCACAGCATCTTACGGAAAGAAATGGCAGTTGACCTCTTCCGTCACCAGGCACCGCTGTCTCGAATGGTCACAACTGTAAAACCCTACAATCCCTTCAATAGGAAGGACAAGGAAAGTGTAGGCTACTGACAAATGCCTGCTCTCTGAATGGGACTTACAATCTTCAGCCTTGGGGAGGCACTGTGCATGGTGCAGTGGGGAAATAAAAAAAAACCAGGCATGTTCTGGGTGTGTCTGTAGAGGTCTGATGAAGTCTGGTGTTCTTTTCTGCCTGAGGCAGAGTGTCCTGGACCCCAACCTCAGTTATTGCTTGACCAGGGCTTGGAATGCCACCACTCCATGACGGCAGCCAAGGTTTTCGGGAAGCCATCAGTAGCAATGGCTCTATTTCTAGAAGATTCCTCTTTAGAGTTGGAATGCCAGGCCTACCTAGAGGGTTCATGTCTTGACCAAGTTAATGCAGTTATTGTAACTGTAGAGCATAGATCACAAAGTTGGTTACCATAGACTATCCAATCAAAACCCCATATGTTCTGAATGGGAAAACTGAGTGGCTGGGAGAGAAAGTGGGGGTGTTCCTTCCATAGAGGGCATCACACGGGGGCAAGATCTAGGATAAAGGACAAAACCATCCCTTGCCTGGCTGTTGTATTTCTCTTTCAGGAAAAAAAAAGCAGGGGCACCTGGGTGGCTCAGTCAGTTAAGCGTCTGACTTCAGCTCAGGTCACGATCTCATGGTTTGTGAGTTCGAGCCCCACATCGAGCTCTGTGCTGACAGCTTGGAGCCTGGAGCCTGCTTCGGATTCTGTGTCTCCCTCTCTCTCAGCCCTCCCCAACTTGTGCTCTGTTTCTCTCTGTCTATCAAAAATAAATAAAATGCAAAAAAAAAAAACATTTATAAAGAAAAAGAAAAAAAGCATCCCCGCAGGCTCCATGAGGCCCAAGGGACAGCAGTGACCAGTCCCATCCACTTTAGGGTCAGTGTGTGGACCTTGGCCAGACAGAGCACCAGCTCCAGAATCACTCAAGAGTGAATGTGGGCCAAACGGGATCCCTCCAGCCTCTCAAATGTAGTTTTACTGGTATACATGTAAAGTTTATTTATATCTGCCTACCCATATCCATAGGTCCTGTCAAGAGTTTATAACGTGCTCTCTCAAATCTTAGCTCATTTGACCCCGCAACCCCCCGCAGCAGGCATTTTACAAATACCTTGCTACTTGATGAAACAAACAGAAACAGAAAAAAGGCGGGGCGGGTAGGGGGGGGGGAGTTCACCCTATGTTCCTAGGCTTTTCAGAAGGATTTTTCAGGGTTTCTTCCTGCTTTCTTCTTCCAAGGGCTTCCAAGAGACAGCACGTCAAGCAAACGTGTATAAGCTCTGCTCATTCCTTTGAAAAGGGCAAAATTGGCTGTTTTTGTTTGGGGACAATGTTTGTTTTGTTTTGTTCAGTCGACCTCCACAGATCTGGATGTTGGCTCCCCAGACCCTCTGTATGAGCTGCCGTTCCTTCCAGAACAGGCAGGAAGGCACGCGTCCATTTGTCCTGGGAAGTTGACTTGCTTTCACAGAAAAGGAATGACTTCACCTGAACCTAATCTCGTGGCCTAATTATTCTCAGAACAAGCAATTCTGTTTGAAAAAAAAAAAAAAAATCAGACCAAAACAGAAATCTTCATCTCTGGAAGATTCTCACCCAAACACAAATGGGAAGGATTAGCCCTGTCCAGGAAATAGATTAATGCAGGTACCAGAGATTACGTTTTGTGGTAAACATCCCTGGCAGGCCACTTTGTCAGGAGGCGTTATCGCTCAAAGTCTGAGGCACCTGTTTGTTCTTCTGGGCCTTTCTATGGCAGAGCACCAGTGGCACGTGATCTTGGCATTCTGCAGGCTACGATAACCATTTCCATCCTCTACAGTGCAGGTAACCGGACACCTATCAGAGCTCCGGGCACCTTCCAAGCTGCTTCTAGAATGATGCTGGCTTTGTCCGCAGCATCTTCAGGCAACAGCCAGCACGAGAGACGAGGAAGCACTTCTGTTTGCACAAAAACTAGCTCAGTCTGCTTTCTCATGAAGACAATTAAAATCCTGCTCACCACAGATCTAGAATCCCAGGCCGACATAGAAATACCAGCTGCTAGAAACTCCTGGCCTGTGCTTGTGAGGGTAAGTTGTATTATTTGGGGTTCCCTGGTCAGAGTTCAGTGGAAACTCATAAAAATCAAGGGCAATGGCTTCAGGGATAGTCACCTGCTCTTTAAGATCTGAACTCTGGTCTTGGACTATTCTGATGCACTGGGAGCCAACATATCTACACCTGCTTAGATGAGCCATTTCCCTTGGCTCCCTTCCTTACAGCACAGGATGCCCTACATTACTCTCTTGGCTTTTATCTATCCCCAGGGATGGACCAAACACAGAGAACCTTGAAGTTTCCATAAAACTTAGGTGGCAGAGAATGTTCAAAAAATTTTAAATCTTTCACCCATAACAGAAAATGCATACTAAAATGCCTATTTTAGAAGAAAAGGATATGACAATTATAAAATATTATAAATACATTACTCAAGCTTGATAATATGAAAAGTATGATACCCATGATAGAGGAGAGGAAATCTAGAAACAAATGGATAAAGAAATTATGTTAACCCCCCGAGTACAGGGTAGATTTGTTTGGATAGATGATATTGAGACAACTATATAGAATCAGAACAGAAAAATAGATCCATCCAGGTCCCACCCATAAGTTAAAAGTAAGTTGTGCTCATAAATCAAAAATAGAGCTTCAAAGGGGTAATTTACAGCCTGGAATTTCAGGAGAATTGGTTTATTAGGTGGAGGAAAGTTTTTCCAAAGACCACTGAAGCCAGAAATTATGAAGAAAAAAAAAATAATAACTACTTTAACTTAAAAAAAACACCACCAAAATCTTTTTAAGAAAAACTTGTTGACAAAATATGTCAGACAAAATTTCATATCCTCACTGTAAAAACAGTCCATGTTTGGGGAATGAGAAAGACTACACCAATGGAAACAAGGCAACCAAGGCAAAAGACATTAACAAGTACATTAAAAAAATAAGAACTATAAATGGCGGGGTGCCTGGGTGGCTCAGTCAACCAAGCGTCAGACTCTTGATTTTGGCTCAGGTCATGATCTCACGGTTTGTGGGATTGAGCCCCACGTCAGGCTCTGTGCTGACAGTATGGAGCCTGCTTGGGATTCTCTCTCTCCCTCTCTCTCTGCCCCTCTCCTGCTCACACACTCTCTCTCCCTCTCAAAATAAGTAAACACTAAGAAGAAAAGAAACATAAGTGGCCAATGGGCAAAGAAATATTGACACTTCAGGAGTATTAGAGAAATGTGGTATTTCATTTTCCACCTACGGATCAGTACTGGTAAGAAAAGACCCATAGCTTTGTTTTCTGTAAGTAGGATTTGACAAAGCTAAGCCCCTCTCCAGAGGGCCCTCGGCAAGATGTTTCCAGAGTTTTCCAGTGGCCAAGGTTCAAACTCAGCAATTTTCCTTTTAGGATTTTGTCAAGCAAGTAATTATGCCAGTGAGCAGATATGTTTATATAAAGAAATTGAAAGTGTGGCAACTTATGACAGAGAAGAATTAGAAACAACTTCATGCCAATTGAGAGAAAATTTAATAAATTGTGCTACATGAATAAACTAAATATATGTGTTAAAAAGACAGTGGACGTCTATATTATCATGGAAAGATATACATGCAATTATTGGTACCTGTAAAAAGCAGATTTTACAGAAGGGCGCCTGGGTGGCTCGGTCGTTTAAGCGTCTGACACTTGATTTCAGTTCAGGTCATGGTCTTGCGGCCCATGGTCTGAGCCCCACGTTGGGCTTTGTGCTGACAGCTTGGAGCCTGCTTGTATTCTCTTTCTCTCTCTCTCTCTCTCTCTCTCTGCCTCTCCCCCGCTCACGCTCTCTCTCTCATAAATAGTAATACATAATTTTAAAAGCATATTTTACAATAGTACATATTTAATTATCTCATTTTCATTTTAAATGGCTATGCGGAATAATGTGGGGAGATGTAAAACACATTAGTAGTAATTCTGTATTTTTATACTGTTGTAGTGACATGTGTTTCTTGAAAACTGGAAAATTTGAAAAGTTGTAAGACCCTATCCCTAAAACTCTCCAAAACCCTTTAAAACAGAAACTGCGAGAATTTTTCCTTTATGAATTTAGTACCAGAAAGATATTTGTCCCTCCTGCAGAACTGGTGTCCGAGTAGGAGAATTATGTAAGCCACCTACCTCAACCTTTTCTAAAATCTGGTGGTTTGTCATATAGGTAGGTGTGAAATTACATAGTTACCCTAAATGGAAAATGCTAAAATGGAAAGTGCTTCCATTTTCCCATGTCTGCCAGGAAGCCCAAGGCCGAATTCAATCAGTAGATTAACTCAGAGATGCTGACAAACTCAAGTCAGGGTTCCACGTTCAAAACCGAGAGCCGAAGGAGCCTCCTGAGTCATTCTGGGACGTGCTGCCGTCTGAGAACCTGACTCCGTACCTGCTTTTTCCCCTCGCCGCAGAGTTTCAGATTTTCCTGTTTCGATTATAAGATCCCCCTGATATTAGGAGATGCCTAACCCTTGGGGGAAATCGATAGGTCACAGATCACATTAGACATGCTTAACGTGTTTCTCGTTAGTGTTTCCCCGCACCAGAGGGAGCACTGACCCATGGAAGGAAAACCCACGCCTGGGCAGTGCAGTGAAAACTACCCCACTGTCTTCGTGGTCCATCACCCTCCTGCCCTGATGCTGCTGGGAGGAGGTTGTCACCAGGAGAGGTGCCAATTACCTGGTGGAGGCCTAAACTGACCACCCAGGATTATGCTGTAATAAATGAAATTTTTCTTTTTAAAAATATTTTTAAGTTTATTTATTTATTTTGAGAGAGACAGAGACA